ACATTATACATTATACATTATACATTATACATTATACATTAAACATTATAAAATTCATTATACATTATACATTATACATTATACATTATACATTATACATTAAACATTATACAATTCATTATACATTATACATTATACATTACACATTATACGTTATACATTGTACATTATAATTATACATTATACATTATACATTATACATTATACATTATACAATTATACAAATATACGTTATATGTTATACATTATACGTTATACATTATACATTTTACATTATACATTATACATTATACATTATACATTATACATTACATAATACATTATACATTATACATTATACATTATACATTATACATTATACATTATACATTATACAATTTACATTTTACATTTTACATTATACATTATACATTATACATTATACATTATACATTTTACATTTTACATTATACATTTTAAATTTTACATTATACATTAAAGTAATACTTTTTTCGACCAACAGAGCAAATGGTGAATATTGTTCTTAGAATACAAAGCTTTCCCTTGGAGAAAGCTTTTAAACCACATCTAGTGGAGAAACTAGGTATTATATATATTTAAAAATACCGACGCTTTTTTGAATTTTTCTTTTAAATAAAATTCCAAAACTGAAAGGTCATATTTTTCTTCATAGATTCGAATGATAAATATATATATAAATAAATACCGTCCACAAATAGTAAAAGCTGAATATGATAAAAAAGGGTAAAAAAAAATTTATTTTAAACAAATATCAAAGTTTGACATATATGTTTCTACATGCATTTTTCAAGGTCATTTCAAAAATATAGTTTTTTAGATCTGTAGCTTTAGTCCTAAAAAAATTATGGGCTATTTTATATTTTAGTTAATATTGTAAAAGCTGAATATGATAAGATTATAACGAAAAAAGACTAATTAAGATTTGTAAATAAATCACCTGCTTAATAACTAATTTCATTATTGAGCAGGCGCGTACACAGGATTTTAGCCAGGTGGGGGCAAAAACTTTTTTTGCCCCCCCTGGAATTGTTTTGTTCAGAAAGTCAATTAACACCATAAAAATACACCAAAAAGACTACATTTTTGGGTGTTACTAACCTTATAGAGTCTAAAATTTATTCCTTTGCTCGAAAAANCCATATATGATATCCGTTTTCCAATATCCATATATGATATCCGTTTTCCAATATCCATATATGATATCCGTTTTCCAATATCCATATATGATATCCGTTTTCCAATATCCATATATGATATCCGTTTTCCAATATCCATATATGATATCCGTTTTCCAATATCCATATATGATATCCGTTTTCCAATATCCATATATGATATCCGTTTTCCAATATCCATATATGATATCCGTTTTCCAATATCCATATATGATATCCGTTTTCCAATATCCATATATGATATCCGTTTTCCAATATCCATATATGATATCCGTTTTCCAATATCCATATATGATATCCGTTTTCCAATATCCATATATGATATCCGTTTTCCAATATCCATATATGATATCCGTTTTCCAATATCCATATATGATATCCGTTTTCCAATATCCATATATGATATCCGTTTTCCAATATCCATATATGATATCCGTTTTCCAATATCCATATATGATATCCGTTTTCCAATATCCATATATGATATCCGTTTTCCAATATCCATATATGATATCCGTTTTCCAATATCCATATATGATATCCGTTTTCCAATATCCATATATGATATCCGTTTTCCAATATCCATATATGATATCCGTTTTAAAAATCTTTAGGAGAGGTCTTGAAAATTCCGCCCCCGCTCGCCATTTTTTTGGGCCACTGATTTTTTAATTCTGAAACAGAAGTTAGATGTCGCTTTTTATCGACCAGCTTTCTAAACTATGAAAAGAAAGCTTACAGACCCCTCTATCAAAAGAAAGAGCATATAATTAGGTTTGGAGGTTGCTGATGAAGGGGGGGGGGGTGTCATGAGGAACCCTTGATATTGACGCAAATGTATGCAAGAACTTACTACGCACTAAATGCAACAAAACTTTGTTGTAATTAAGATAATCACTAAATCTAGTATTAAACCAGGGGGATTATAGTTCTATAACTGTGTGTCTAGTTAGCTGTACAGTACACTTACAACTGTTTACTAATATTGATATACTATAGGTTAATTTAGGCCAGAATCAACCTATAATAAACAAATATGCAGTACGCTCTCGGTATAGTTGAAGGCCTATACCATTAATAAAGGGTTAGCGTACATCATCACTCTATACACTATAAACTCGTTGTATTAAACACAGTGTCAGTAGTCTATAAACATGACAAAAAATTCAAATATAATGTTTCAGACATCAAGCTTTTGAAAAAAAAGTTTTTTTATTATTAAAGTGACTATTCAGATATTTGACAGAGGATTCGTTATTTTATCTTTATCAATTTTTCTGAAAAAAAATTTCTGATTTAAGTTTTTTTTTATCGTCTTTATTTTATCTATAATAAAGCTCTAATATATATATATTTGTATGTATGGTATGCATGAATGTATGTATATGCATATATATCTTCTTAAAATAATTTTCTATTGTTTATTTAATATAGTTTCTTGCTGGACACTGTTTTATGTTGTACATGATCTCCTTATTATATATTTATCTTCTTAAAATAATTTCAGAACATTTTCTATTGTTTAATAATATTTGTTATTGCTGGACATTTCATTTTTTTTTGCTTTTTTTTTATATATATATATATATATATAAACAAATATGCAGTATATATGTTAGCTATAGAGTAGAGCTGGGCAAACGGCTGAACCCAATTGGCTGACATATGCTAAAAAAAATCTAAAGCTCCACGGGCAACGCCGGGATCTTCATTTAGTGTTACATAAGTATTCAGAACTGAGGAGAAATAAACGCCCAATTATAAGGTGAATGCAGGGGAAGAAGATTCCAAGCCGTGAATTGTCCCAAATCACAAACACGGTTTAAAACTTTCTTCCACATGTAATGATAAATATACAATACATAACATATTTTGATAATTATTTTTGAAAAGAAATTAATAACTTAGAATTAGTTACTAATTCTTCTTTATTAAGTTTGTTTACTTCAAGCCAAAACAAAGGTAATAGTACTTAATTGCAATTTTTTGTACAAATATTTTTATTTATTTATTAATTCTACAACAACACCTTCTAATTCTTATTCTGAGTTTTACTAGATGAATTCAGTCTGGCGTTGCCCGTGGAATTATTAGAATATAATTTTGAATACAAAAATTAGATGTTTGTTACTACCGGGGTACTCAAGGGTTCCCCCCCCCAAAAAAAAAAAATTCAGCCCAAACGGTCCAGCCGATTGGCCAGCTCTAGTTTACAATACATGTATACAAATATACACGAGCGAAGAGCTTTGTTAAATATTTATTATAGGTAAATTAGAAAAAAGAGCATAGATCCGACATTCTGTAGCTGTTATAGGCCAGCTAGCTATACAGAGATAGCATACATACTTGTAACATATATACATACAAAAATATACAATTACAGAAATATAGAGATAGCATACCTACTTGTAACATATATTCATACAGAAATATACAATTACAGAAATATAAAGATAGCATACCAACTTGTAACATATATTCATATAAAAATATACAATTACAGAAATAGATAGCATACCTACTGGTAACATATATTCATACAGAAATATACAATTACAGAAATATAGAGATAGCATACATACTTGTAACATATATTCATACAAAAATATACAATTACAGAAATATAGAGATAGCATACCTACTGGTAACATATATTCATACAGAAATATACAATTACAGAAATATTTGCTCTTAAAGGAACTCTCATCAATCTTCGGGATAAATGCAATTTCTATCTAATTCTCAATTGTCAGGGGGGATATTCCATAATCTCATCTCTCTCATTCAATTATCTTCTGCCCCCCCCCCTCCCCCCATGTAACATGATGAGCTATATAGCTAGAAAATACAAGTACGCTTGCCTTCAAAGTTATAGAAAACTTTTCTGAAATTAATAAATATCGAATATTAATATTTCAAGATATTTCAAGATATTTCAAGAAAACATTATAATTTCATTGTTCTCACAAATTTTAAGAAATATTATTTAAAAATACATACTTCTATGTTTCATAACGTGAAATTAACCACTTAGGTACGTATGAATATTTCGAACATAAATCTATTATAAATATCAAATCATTATCATGATTTAACCTTTTGTAAAATATTCCGCCCAACTTTTTCGTCCTCATTATTTCTATAAAATATTAAATCCAATTTGAAGGTTAGATCAATATTGATTGTAAGTATGGAATAATACTTCAAATTTAAGCTTTTTATATTTTAAAACTTTTTGTTGAAATTGTTCAGGGGTTTAATTAAATTTTGAATAAATATATTTATGAGTTTTCTGGAGGTTCATTGTCAGCAATTTAAAAATATAATTATATAATAATATTTTCATATATATTACACAAACATAAAATATATTTTTGTATATACAAGTACGCTGTATGATATATATTGTATATTCACTATAATATAGAATATAATAATTTAACTTTACAATATATTAATTTAATGACTTTTAGTTTTATCACTATGTATGCAATATGAATATAACTAAGGTAATAAAATAAAAACCGGAAAAAAAATCCTATATACAACTTGTTGACGACAATATAAAAGAACATTAAAATATCATGCAGAACTTAATACTACTTGCACAGAGTGGATAGGTGGAGGGGAGGGGGGGGGGGGGATTTGGCTTTTCAAATTAAAATAAAAAAGGTAAAAACTAAAATTGGTCTCTCACTTTTTCTTTTACGCTGCTTTATAAAAGTTAAAAAAGAGGGTCATGTAACCCCCCCCTCCCCCACTCCGCCCTTCCTGTGAATGAACAGCGACCATTGTACTCACCCAACTTCACTAGCAATGGAGGAGTGCCGAGACATGGACTTAGGAGACATTTCAAACTCCGAGTCCGACCTTTTTAACATACATTGGTTAACATTAACATTTATTCAAATTTTCGAATCTCTAAATCTTTACACCTTGATGGTGTAAACCTTTGATATGTTAAACTTGAATTATTTGTTTTAACATAATTGATAGTTTGAAGAATCTAAGGTCTATGCCATCGGGTTGCAAGGATTAGAAATCAGAGTTTGAGGCAAAAACTTAGATTTTTTGTTAAATTGAATGACTTTGGATTATAAAGAGACAGTTAAGAAATTATCATAGGATTAATTTTCGGAATCTTATCATTTTTTTATCTGTTGAAGCCAAAAAAAGCATGTTTTTATGAATAATGTTTTTCAGTATTTTCCTGTATTTGAATATGGAAAACAATCCCATTGAGATAAATCCCTTAGAACTTGTTTACAGAACCAAGAAATTTGAGGTGAACATTCCAACTATCCTTTTTTAATATTTGCACCAGAAAATAGATCAGCGTAATACCCTGTAATCTCAAGATTTAAGATAAAACAAAATCTTAGAAAATCTTATTCAAACCCAAACATCTACTTGAACCTGAACGTAAACGTGAACGTGAGCCTGAGCCTGAGCCTGAATCTGAACCTAAATCTGAACCTGAACCTGAACCTAAACCTGAACCCGAACCTTAACCTTAACCTTACCCTTAACCTGAACCTGAACCTAAACCTGAACCTGGACCTGAACTTGAACCTGAACCCGAACCCAATCCTTAACCCAATCCTGGACCAAATCCTAAACCCAATCCTAAACCCTATCCTAAACCCATTTCTAAACTCAATCCTAAACCCATCCTAAACCCAATCCTAAACCAAATCCTAAACCCTATCCTAAACCCAATCCTAAACTCAATCCTAAACACTATCCTAAACCCAATCCTAAACTCAATCCTAAACCCAATCCTAAACCCAATCCTAAACCCAATCCTAAACCCAATCCTAAAACCGATCTTAAACCAAATCCTAAACCCAATCCGAAACCCAACTCTAAACCCAATCCTGAACCCAAACCTATTCCCGAACCTAAACAAGATCCAAAACCTGAAAATTTTATCCTAAAACCTAGTCCTAACCCTGAACTAGAACCTAAACCTACCTGTAGAGGAAGGATTCTCTCCGCTGCGGCATGTTTTGCAGAACAAGACCTGGAGAGGAACCATCCATCGGAAATTTGCTCGGACTTGCTCCATTCTCGACATCAAAACTGAAAAATATCAAAATTAGTTTTTTTTTCTTAGATTTCTCAGATATTAACAAAAAAGAAAATATGTCAGCAGAAATATATTTATTTTCATATATTTTCTATTATTTAGTTGCAGTGTCAGATGATTTTTAACAAAGGAAATATATTTGGAACGTTTTCATTCTTTTTCTTTTGTTGACACACGTAATTTCCAGTGGTATTCCAATTCACCAAGTTTGTAAGTATAAATACAAAAACACCCGTGGCCGAATTTAAAGAATTTGAGCGGCGGTTTAAATTTAATCCGCGGTTTAAATATGGTTGGTTCCACTTAAAATTGTATCAAATGTTTCAAGATTTAAGCCGGCGCTTAATTTAAACCGGGTTTTGGCGGATTTAAACCTCGGCTCAAATTCTTTCAATTCGCCCACCGGCTACATAGGTCCAACACATTCACAGTATTTACTTTACTTGGGTGTCTGTCTTATCGTTTGTTTGTTTTTATCTAATAAACGTCAAACGGCTTAACCGATTGGGCCCAAATTTGGTGTGGGACCCGGTGAAGGTTTATGGATGCTCAGAATTTCAAAAAGTTGTATCCGGAAGCTTTTGTTTTTTGGTAAAATTTTTAAAATGCATAAAAAAAATATTTGAAAATCCGAAATCTTTTTTTTTGTTTTTGTTTTATATTGTACAAAGAGTAAAATTAAAAGTTGAAATAGAAAATGGGGGCGAAGCACCCTAAAAGCCTAATATCATTAATACACTTAATCATTTATCACATTGTGCCAATTATTGTGCAAAACAAACGAAAGGAACTGAGTGTTTGCCAAAAACTTTGATTTTATATTCCTTATAAGTTAGCAACCTGATGCCATCTACTTTTGCTATATCAAGATATAAATTTTGGTAGAAAACATAGTCTAACTTACTTATGATTAAAATAATATATGTAAATCTAGAACTAAATAGACCCCCTACCCCCTCCCTTTTAATTTGTTTGTTCTATACTTTTTCATTCAAAATGAATATTCCGACAAAAAAGTATTTAAAAAAAGGCTAAAAAATTATGTTAGATTGGTCAAATTGTGATCGAAAGTCACAGTTTTCTGGAATATCGGCAGAACCTTTGAATCCACGTGCATGGGGGGGGGGGGCATTTAAATTGGCTTAAAATCCTCTTTGTAATCCAAGTCACGTATACACTTGTCTCCTACGTTTAAAGTTTGTCCTATTAAAGAATACAAGTTGAACAAATTCAGTTTCTAGTAGAGTAGGTGGATATAAAACAACAGCTCTAAACTCATCTCTTCTCAAGGTTTTTAGTAGAAGAGTCACCCCCGGACTAAACAGAGTTAGAGGCATTCGCTTTCTTCAATTTGAAACATACGCGTTTTGGTTTATATTTTTACAATCTTTAAAGTTACGGATTTGTTTGTTAAATACTTATTATTTAAAACATATATGCCGACAAAAAAGTATTTAAGAAAAAAGGCTGACAAATTATGTTTAATAGGAGTAATTGTGATGGAAAGTCATAGCTTTCTGGAATATTGACAGAACCATTAAATTCACGTGGAGTAGAAGATAAAACAGTTCTTAAACCAACTCTTCTCCAGGTTTCTAGTGGAGGAGTAGAAGATATAACAGTTCTGAAACCATTGCTTCTCTAGGTCTCTAGTGGAAGAGTAGAAGACAGTTCTTGAACCATCTCTTCTCTAGGTCTCTAGTGAAAGAGTAGAAGATAAAACAGCTCTAAACTCATTTCTCCTCTAGGTTTCTAGTGGAAGAGTAGAAGATAAAACAGTTCTAAAACTATCTCTTCTGTAGGTCTCTAGCGGAAGAGTAGAAGATAAAACAGTTCTAAAACCATCTCTTCTCTAGGTCTCTAGAGTAGAAGATAAAATAGTTCTAAAACCATCTCGTCTCTTTAGGTTTTTAGTGGAAGAGCAGAAGATAAAACAACATTCCTAAACCCATCTCTACTCCGGGCTCTGCAGTTAATTGTTACTAACATAGAACACATACTGGGATAAGATATAATAATTCTGGCAACTAAACTTATACCTTCCATTTAATTAAAATAAAAAAACCTTTCTTAAGATTTTTTCGGATATTTTTTTAGAATACTACCCACCACTGGCCACTTGAGGAAGGAGGAAGTCCTCCCCCCCCCCCCCGTGTATTAAATTTAATTTTAAACTCTTAGAAAAGGAAAGTATAAGTTCATAAATAGTTTAAAACTTTTACCCGCATTTATCATTAATCAAAGTTTAAAACTGTAGTATACCCTTTAAACCTTTATCTGAGTAACAAGAAGAAAATATTGTCGTTTTCTATTTTTTCTGAATTGTCTACGCAGTAAAAATTTTCAAATCACATTCTTTATGTGACGAAGGTTTGAAGGGTACTGTTGTGAACTGTACATGCAACTCTAGAATTGAAAGGTCGCTACTTCTATATACAAATTTAGCTTGTCTGTCTGTTTGTTTGCATCCAATAAACGTCAAAAAAATTTTGCGGGACCTCGCGCGAATCCAGGGAAGGTTTATTTATGATCAAAATTTGAAAAAGTTGTGTTTAAAAGTTTTTTATTTTTGTAAAATTTTGAAAATGCGCAAAAAAAGTTCGCATTTTATGTGGACGCACTTCTGATGTCGGATTGTGACTAAAGTGGACGCACTTCTGATGTCGCACTGTGACTAAAGTGGACGCACTTCTGATGTCCCACTGTGACTAAAGTGGACACACTTTTGAAGTTGCGCTGTGACTAAAGTGGACGCACTTCTGATGTCACACTGTGACTAAAGTGGACGCACTTCTGATGTCACACTGTGACTAAAGTGGACGCACTTCTGATGTCGCACTGTGACTAAAGTGGACACACTTCTGAAGTCGCGCTGTGACTAAAGTGTACGCACTTCTGATGTCGCACTTTGACTAAAGTGGACGCATGAATAAAAATGCATTTGCAAGACCACAGCATTAAGGACATTACATACACTCTTACTTTAATAGATGGGCCTTACTTAACACTATACAAATTCCTTTGAAAACTCACAATCTGTCCAAAACATTTCTTAAACTAAATTTATTTCTTTAATACAAATAATATATGAACATTGTAATTCAAATCTATTTCTTTAGTATACTTTCTGTATAATGCAAAACAAAACCATGTAAAAAAAGGGAAAAAATGAGCAAAAAATTATAATAGTTGAAAGTAAAACTAGGCAAAACTTAAATTAGTTATTAAAACTATACGTTTATATTTCAACAATATCATGAAAGTTACTTTTTTTCTCGACTTTTTATGTTTAATTTAAAACTTTTACAACAGACTGAGTCCATTAAATAAAATTGAATATTGTAGTATATTCAAACATATAATTTGAGTTATAATTATTTGTTAAGTAAAAAAGGTTCTTTGTTCTATCCCATAATTAAGTAGATGTATAACTTATAAAAAATATGCCACCCATCGTAAAAATGTTTTTTTTTTAAAAAGAAATCCAAAAATCATTTCTTGTATCCTGTTCCTACATCCTGCATCCTTTATCGTGTATCCTGTATCCAGAATCTCTGTATCCCCCATCCTGTTTCCTGTATCTGCTGAATGGTACATGTATCCTGTATCCAATATCCTTAATTTTTTTTTTATCCTGTATCATGTATCCTGTATGAGTGTTCTGTATCATATGCACTGTAATATCCATATCCTGAAGCTTGTATCCTGCTTCCTGAGTTCTGCATCTGATGTATCATGTACTCTATATAGTATCCTGTATTATACATCCTATGTATACATTCTGTATCCTATATCCTTTAGCCTGTATCCTAAATTCTATATCTTGTATCATACTTTATATTGACAGAAAGGCATAATCAATTTAAATTACGCCTTAATTCACATTATGTTCTGCGCAAATCCCTTTGAAAGTCAAGCTTAACCTAATTGCCCACTCTAATACCCCCCCTGTCAAGTATTTGAGAATAGCAAGCTGGAAAACAAATAGAGGATGTCATTAAAAATCATGCCGCGTAACTGAACCAAAATGTGAATTTAAATGTAAATTTACATTTATGTCAACATATACATTTATCTATTCAGATACGCATATATGCATTTATGTAACTTTTTTCTGTTATTTATCCGCTAATTATGATTACTATACAATCAATAGTTTTTCAATTCCAACGTTTACAACAATTATAAATAGAAACCAACCATATCGGTTAAAATCAAATAAGTGCCTTTTGGATTTGATAGTTTTTCAGTTAAAAACAGACATCATATTACATATCAGACATATCAGACAACATGTACAAAGATAAGCGTAAAAAATTGGCATTATCAATTTATTGCCAGTAAATCTATGATATTTTATTTAAGTTTCAAGAAAATGTTTAGCCCCCCCCCCCCTCTCCTGTTAATTATCCACTTTCCCCTATCCCTGGGGAATCATCTTATTCATGTTTGAAATATTTTGAAAATATTATTATGTTGCTTCTGACATTTTCAAATATAATCGCTGTATTTAATTTCAAATATTAAACATTCTTTCACATTGAATTTTATAAAAAAGGGATTTTATAGAATTTAAAGTTTATCCAAAAATACTGATTATATTTTAAACCTTTTGAATGCATGCAGCTTATCTTACATGCATAAATTTATCATTTTAGGTTTATATATAAGTTTTAGAACTGATTTCCTGACTCAAACTCTAATTTTCTTAATCTCATATCTATCGGATCAATCATATTTCATTAAAATTCAGGGGATCTTTTAGGGATATATCTATCAATTGGTCAAACCGATCTCACTGAAATTTTAGGATTGAACAGCAATTATTTTTTTTTTATATTTATTCTTCGCTTCATTTTTGAGGTTTTTGTGTGGTGCCATGTGGGAGTTTAAAAAATGAAAACAACATTCTAAATTAATCCAAAATATAATGAATAAGAATTTCATTAAAGGAAAAAAAATTGAGTCTTTGCCACAAACTCAAACCCTATAT